GCCCTAGACTTAGAGTCATTCCAGGTTACACAGTTTTAGTGATGATTAATACCTTCCAACATTCATGCTATGGCTATAGAACTTCTTAAAGACAGCCTTCAAGATCAGAGTCTTTGAAAAGAGATGACATATATTCATATTAAAACCTAGTTGCAAATTAAAAATAAAACCAATTCCTCAGCTGCTCTGAGCAATAAAATTATTTGTTGTGGGGTTTTCTTCCCTTTGGTTATAATTTTAATGCCTCCTGAAACAATGACATTACAACAACTTTAAAAGACAATGAATTTGAACTGGATAACTAGGCAGGTTTTAAGCAAGTAGAATAGAACTGGGTTGTTGAAGTTTGCAATTCCTTTTTTTTTTTCCTTAAGTAAAATCTCTGATCCGTCAAGGAGATCCTAGAAAAATGATCAACAAGGGAGAAGATATGGTGCAGTCACACTGCATTCATTGAGATTTTTAAATGAAAAATGTAATTAAAGTAAATGGTATCATTTCAAGTAATTATTGAGAAATCCTGTCTATTAGCTAAGATTAATTCTCCTGATTCTAATCTCTCTCTACTACCTAATGGTGCCCTCCTTGTTTCATGTAATTAAAATGTAGCAGGTAGTTTATACACAAGAGGGAGTGTTTGTATTAAAAATATCTTTTCATAATCAACGTTAAGCACTCATTCCATTTATGACTGAAGTTTTTGAATAGAAATCTAATATTTTATTGTGAACTTTTAAATATATGTGTTAGTGTTCATTTATTTTAATATATTTTAATTTCATTCAGAATTATCAGATGTGGTTATGAGAAATATAAAGATTTAAATAGGTATGGCAAATCAAATTACTGGGTTGGCGTGATTTTTAAAAATGTCAAGTAAATTTAATTCTATCAAGTTAGACTCCAGTTGCTCACAGTGACAAAAAAAGTTATTTGAGGCTATGGTCTTGCTTTTATTTTTTTTTAATCAGATCTTCTGGGTTTTTTTTTTAATTTTCTTGTTTCAAAGTATGCTGTCTTTCTCTGACTTTCATGGCATATTTACATAGTGCAAATATATCATAATTTAGACAAAATAACTCCATAAATTCGAGCCCTATTTTGCATGCACACACACACACACACACACACACACACACACACACACACACAAAACACATATATTCAGTACGTCAGTCAATAAGCATTTATTAAACACTTACTGTGAACCAGGCACTGTGCTAAGTGATGGGGATACAAAGAAAGGCAAAAGACATTTCCTGCACTCAAAAAACTCACAAACTAAAGGGAAAAAACAGGCCAACAATTATGAATAAAGAAAATACGTACAAGAAAATACAATAATACACATTTCCTGCGGTAGTCAGGTGGCAGTTAAGAATAAATCATATTATATCATAATCATATCATATATCTGTATCAAACTCTAATTTATTTGAAATCTTTTAGAATAAGTTTTTATTGATGTTTTCTGTTATGTCATCATGGTTATCCTCAGTATCTCTACTTCTCCTCTTTCAGTGAAGCTATTATATATAACAAAAAATACTTATTTTAAAGAGGAAAAAGTCAGCATAACTGATCCATACATTGAAAAAATCCAAAAATATGTGCACCAAAAATATGAGACCTATGTGTCTCCCCCCTCCACAAGAGATAGGTTGGGTGTGTCCTTTCATATCTCTTTATTTGAATCATGCTTGATCTTTATAATGATTTGAAATCTTAATAGGAATAATGGAAAGCACACTACCCTGTTAGTCAGAAGTTGAATCAACAAGTCAGTAAGCATTTATTAAATGACTGCTATGTGCCAGGTACTGGGCCAAGCACCAGGATTCCTGCTCACTAGCTGTAGCATCTTTGGTAAATCACTTCTCTTCGGTCTACATTTCTTCCTCTGTGAAATAAAGACTTTGGGCTGCATGACTTATAAAATCCTCTTCTAGGTCTAACAGTCTGTGGTTTTGCATGGATTTAAGTTAGACTCCAATCTACCAAATCACAAGAAGTCATTTTATAAGTGCTTGGTATTTGATCAATACTATATAAGATCAATGCTCCCCTATGTTAAAAAGCATTTAAGGGAGAGGCCATAGGATTCCATGGACTAAACTATGCTAACATATGCTTAGAGTGGGTAGCCACCCATGTGCTTTGATTTGAGAAGTGCCAAAAGCTTTCTTCTTCAAAATATGTACCCAGCTGGCCATTTACCACATTTAAACCCCACCTCCCTCCAAATTGTCACTTTTTTGGGTTAGGGAAGGCAGGGATTTCAGAGGCCATCTAGTCCAAACCACTCATTCTACAGATGAGGAAAACGAGGTCCAGGAAGGTCAAGTAACTTGTTCAAGGTTAGTAACCATTAGAGGTGAAATTTATGTGCTCAGGAAATAATGTATTAAAATATTAAATCATTTTCACTCAGTTTTGTTTATCAGAGGATGGAAGACAGGAAATGGAGTGCTAAGGACTATGTTTGCCTTCTTCACGACTGGGGGGATGAGTTCACTTTGTAAGAGTCCAAAGTGTCGCAAACTAAGATACAAATATAATCGTATGGGTATATTTATATTGGCCCTTTCAAACCAGGGACAATCAGTTAATAAACTAATTAATTACAGACTAGCACCCATTGTTAATAAAGTTCTACTTGAACCCTAAACCTACACTAAGAGCAGAGTATATAGAAAAATGTTCTCCATTTAACTTCCAATTGTGAGAAACAAACTTGGCTATTTGTTTGAATGTCAGTGTTGGGGGAGAGCATCTCTTGGCAGGGATCTTTGGACAAAAGTGTTATTCTCCTGGATCTCCTGGATCAAAGTGGAAATCCAGCTTACCAAATCCTTAGCAGTGCTGCCAATGTCATTTATCATGCATCATATAATTTGACTCTTTAGTCATTTCCACAGTTCCAACTTTGTAAGCATCCCAGCTACACAAAAGAAACTCCCTGCCTCTAAATCAGTGGCTGGTTTGTGAGAGAAAACACACACCTGCACACACTAACATGCACATACCTGAACTCAACTGTACAATCATCTCTCTGATTCCTCTTAAAAATGCAGAGTTAGTGCATAAACCCTTACTTTTAGATCTCCCCATTTAAGGAAATTTACTATTTGCATGCTCGAATTATAATTCTAAAGGGACACGTTTTACATTGTGATTGATTGAAAAATCAGATGTTAACCAGCAAGACAAGACCAATTTTCCAACACTTCAGCTCTATTTGTTCAAATTTATTGCCATTGTAAAGGACCAATTATGGCTAATAATGGTGTTATACTCATCTCAATAAGTAACTGGTTTGGTAAAGCTTAAAGCGCCCTCAACTTTGGCATTCACTTTAGTTAACTACTGGCAATAGCTAATTTCTTATAGATTATTACTTTAATGCCTTATTGCTCCCTGAACACATATATAGTGTCAATGAATTATCATCTGATACTCATTTATATCCTGCCATTAAACCTTCTGGAGGAAATGCAGGCTATAAGCCACATTGGTAGAGTATCATATCTACTGGATATTAATGAATTACGGAATCTTGCATGCCAATGTCTGTGGCTACGTCAGAATTCAATTTTCCCACAATGTCTGAACTACAGAGGCTCAGCTGTTTCAAACTGCATGAAGCCTAGGTGTTCTAAACATATACTGATCACCAGAGTTTTCTAGAATCTGTCACCTTGAACCCACACAATTGAAAAAAATTAACCTATACATGCTTCCCAAGAGGAGAGAATCTAGCTTTCTTACTAGACCTTTCTGGACTTCAATAATATAAATAAAAAAGTGAGCCATTTAGCTGCTTTGGAAACTACCATTAACCTTAGTTCATAAAGGCCCTAATGAAATTATCCATAAGTGAGAATGGGCAATGTTACTTTTATAACCCCAAAAGGGGAAAATATATGTTCCTACTGAGCTTTCTCACATTATGTTCCTATGTCAAGACACTAATTCCTTTCTATTCTAGATATTCTTCTTTTTAGATGAAAAAGTAGACATTTTTCTCTGCTAGCCTACTCCTGTACTATGCAAGATGGAGAATGATGGAAATACATTCTTAAAGCACGATTATACTGCATCTATCACCTAATTAATGCATGGAACTCCTTATTTTGCCAGTGTAGACACCTTTCCTTGAGGAAATAATACAATATAACCCCAAAGAGAAACACCCACTGCCTATTTCTCCCTAACCCCATCCTTCAGTCACATTTTCCTGTATCTCAAGTCTGAGTAAGTTAATGTTCAGCCTGAGCAGTTGCTACTGTCTGTGTGCAAATCACCAGAAACACTTCAAGGAAGAGTATGTGCAAATCCCTGCAAAATGAAACATGAATATCCTATTCTCATTTCAGTCTAAATCATGCAAGAGTAGAGAGGATTCTCCTGGAAGCAAAAGGGACTCTCAGTTATCCACAGGAATGGGATACCAGGAGTGCATGGACAATTGAAATTCACAGATAATCCCTAAAGGCTCATTTTAGTCAATAGCTTCAACCTTCTTATCCCACCAAACCTTTTGCCTAGCTGCTTAAAAGTGGGACTATTTAATGGCTCTAATGTCATTCTCCTATATTTTCCCTCTGCCTACTTAGTAGAAGAGCTAATGAACAGTGAAATGGTTGAAAGGGAAGTAGCAGAAGGGAGGAAGAGAAGATGACAGGTCTGTGAACTGGGAAATAGATAAACTAAATAATCAGCCCTTGGTAGTGGAAAGTTGACAAAATTAGATTCCTGTTTAATCTGCTCTTGCTCTTTGCCCAAAGGTCAAGAAGTGATTCATTTTTAACTAAGATTGAAATGCCTTTGAAACCAAGTACCAAGTTATCAGATATTTTAAATCATAAACCCAATGGACATTAGTTTACTATAATCCTCCCCACCTTCCATATTATCTTCTATCTTTCCTACCCCTCATCCCCCCTCACACTTAGAAAAACACACATAGCAGCTTAGAAAACTTGTGTTATTTTACTTACAATTGTGAAGTTCATGACCTTGAGAATCCAGATGGTCATAGCCAAGTTCACCAGGATTAAAATCATTAGGAGAAGAACAAAGAAATAGAGGCATCTCTTCCGCCAGCCATAAATCCCTACTTTGTATACCTGCGGTCCTTCAGAGCTTTGCATATTGTTCCTGTTGTGAGTATACTGTTCCTGAGGCATCTGGAATTAACAAGAGAGGAGAGAGAGAGAGAGAGAGAGAGAGAGAGAGAGAGAGAGAGAGAGAGAGAGAGAGAGAGAGTGAGAGAGAGAGGAGGCATATACACATTAAACTGCGGAAAAAGTCAACTAGAGAAGAGCTATCGCTGCCTGTTGTCTTGGATTTCTCATCCCTTTGGGGGATTCTAACAAATCTCAGTTACCTTCGGACTCTACCAATTCCTGTGGCCCAGCTTAAGGCAATGTTGTTGTTGTACAGTCAACCAGTCATGTCCAGGTTTTCATGACTCCATGGACCAACTATCCTTAGGGTTTTCTTAAGGCGATAGCTTTCTTATGTTATTTATCAGTGCAATCATAGTCCCTATTTGTGTGTGTGTGTGTGTGTGTGTGTGTGTGTGTGTGTGTGTGTGTGTGTGTGTGTGTGTTTGTACAGGTATATATATGCACCCACAAAGAGATATAGAATATTGTTGTTGTTCAGGTTTTTCAGTCTTGTCTGACTCTTCCTGACCCTATTTGGGTTTTCTTGGCAAAGATACTGAAGTGATTTGTCATTTCCTTCTCCAGCTCATTTTACAGATGAGGAAACTGAACCAAACAGGGTTGAGTGACTTTCCCAGAGTCACACAACTACTAAGTGTCTGATGCCAGATTTGAACTCAGGAAGAGAAGCCCAACACTCTATCCACTGAGCCACCTAACTGCTCCATAGAGAAGAAGGGAAATATAAGTGTGAATTTCCATGGGAGATCATTCTCAAATGAGGTATTTTTTTTTCCTCAAAAGTTGCGTGGAATCATGGGATCGTAGATCCAGAACCAGAAGGCATAGGGGATCAGAGGCAATCTAGCCCAACCTCATTTTACAGATGAGGAAAACGAAACTCTGGGATTTGTTCCATGTCCCCCAGATAAGAAATGTCAGAGGCAGTATTTGAACTAACATCCACTGACTCCACAGCTAACTACAGTTTCCACTGTACCATGTTGTTCCTGGTCTTTGCTAGTGAAATGCTTAGGTGTTTAACAAAGTCCTGAAGGTGGCATTTTAAATTAGTTGGGTAGAAGGAGTTAAGTTCAGCAGATCATTTTGGGGATATGATGAGAATTCTCAGAGGTTTTCTTCATTAAAAAATCATAAGGATCTCAGACACAGTCTTTCTCCATGGCTACAAAGGTAGCAGGAAAAGAACCATTCTTAGCTTTGTTCGTTTCCATACAAACTCCAACTTCAGAGACCAAGAGTTCTGGCTGTGCAACCCACCCGGAAGCTTTATACCAAACAAAAGCCCTCACTGTCATTGTTACATCTCTTGCACTTCCTTTGTGGGGCTCCCTTGTGCAGGCTTGAACACAAAGGCAACATCATCCGTGGGCCTTACACATCAAGAGAAAAGAAGTCACTTAGAAGAGGAAAGAAAGCAGGTGGGAAAGTTAGGGTGCCTGAAAAGAACAACTCTTGTCTTTCTTGTGCCAGATAAACTCACTGATGGTGTCCAGTGAAGGATTGTAGCTGTGGAATGTGGACTGCATGTTTAATCTACCTTCATAACCAGGGAAGTGGATGTCAAAGATATGTTTTCTTCCCTTAACTTTCCAGTTTAGTAGATTCCTAGAGGGTCCACTTTGAAGGGAGCTTAGAACCCATGAAAGTTTCTATTTTTTCCAGGGAGGAAAGTGAGTATCAGAGAGGAGAAACAGCTGGTCCCAATAGTGATAAGCAGCAAAGCTGAAACTAGAACCCAAGTCTCCCTTTGCACTTTTACTGTGCTGATTCTTAGATCTTTTTATAATGATTCACAAAATTAAAATGCTCAGTTCTCTAATGAGTACCTAAAATGATGGACACACATTGGACATGTTTGAAAAGAATGAATGTAATGAAAAGTCATTGTAAGGCATATGTGAGGCAAAAGGATACCCACCTTTTATAAAAAAACTTTTCATCATGACAGGGATAATCTCTTATACATACATTGCATTTCTGACATATCTTCTAATTAAAAAAAAAGCAACCAATTGAAAATGTAGAAGCTAAGGAAAGGATACCTAATATCAACTGTTCCACTAGACTTTTCCCTAAAGAACAATGGTTGTAGATATGGGAATAGAGGGGCACATTAGAATCTTTGTTAAAAAAAAATTGACATTTCTGAAGGCTACCTACTGAACATTTCAAACATTACATCAAGTAGGCACCTTTAATTTATCATATTCAGAACAAAATATTTTAGCTTTACTTCCAAACCAACCCCTTTTCAAACTTCCCTCCTTCTGCCCATGCTTATAAAGATTTTCAGCCTGAGAGTCACTCCTGATTCCTCCATTTTCTTCCCTCTTCAGAACTTTCCTCTTTCTGTCAAAGGCACCACCATTATTTTAGTCAGGCAGACTCAGTGTCTTGTAGTCATCCTCCCCTCACTCACCCTCATACCACATGCCCAATTAGTGGACAAATGCTAGCCATCTACTTCCATACCACATCGTTTTTTTTTTTCCCCATTTACATGGTTGCCCTCCTGGTTCAAGCCCTCATTACCTTTTGCCTGGTCTATTGCAATAGACTCCTAACTGATCTGCATGGCTTAGGTCTCTTCCTTCTCCAATTTATCTTCCCCATAGCTGCAAAATTAATAGAGCTAAAACACAGATCATTGACCTTATTGGGTGGCTGCCTATTTATTACCTTTATGATCAAATACAAACTCTTTACTTTGGCATTTAAATCCCTCTACAATCTGAATCCAACATTTATATCCTGATCCATTCTGCATTTCTTCACTGCAAATGTTATGTTCAGTCAGTCAACTAACATTTAGTAAGTGTGTGCTACATGTCACAAACTGTGCTAAACACTAGGGATACAAAGAAAGGTAAAAACACAGTGCAAAAAACAGTAGATCAGAGTTTAAGGAGAGGGAGGCAATGTATAAACCTCTAATACAAAGAAGATATGTACAGACTAAGTTGGAGATAACCTTAGAGGAAAGTCACTGCGATGGAGGAGGATTGGGAAAGGCCATCTTGTAGAAGATGGAACTTTAGCTGATGAACAGCTACTGACAACAACCAGGCAGGAGATGAAGTGTTGAGTGAGAGGATCAGCAACGAGGTGAGTGTCAAAGGACTGCTAAGCGTTCCATGCGTTGGGACAAATTGTGGCATAACTTTAAGAAATTTGGGACCCACTCCTTACCGCAAGAAGGCATTGGATGAGAACTTTAATGGGATTATTTTCATATGTTGCTATTAAAAATGCATATTTAAACCAATATCACCTCTATTATTTCAAATGGTCCTCACAACTCTCATGTGAGACAAGAAAGGTAGATAATTTGACTCCCTAATCCACAAATGAAGAACTGAGGTCCAGAGAAATAAAATATCTTGCTCAATGTCACATCATTTGCTCAGAGACCCAAAGTTGGAAGGGTCCTCAGAGGCCATGTGGTCCAGCTCCTTCATTTAATAGATGAAGAAACTGAGGCCTGAAGAGGTTAAGGGACTTGCCCAAGATGACACAAGCAGTAGGCAGTAGAGGTGGTATTTGAACCCAGGTCACCTGGCTGCAGAGCATCTGTCACCCATACCATATTGTCTCCTTAACTCCTTCTTTTGCCCTCTTTTTTCACATATATACTACTCTCCCTTACTGGATTGATAAGTATACCGCATCTTCTAGCATCTGGCTCAGTACGAGGGACATTAAGTAGATTGTTAATATATGCTCATTGATTGGTTGATGAACTACAAAGTCATTTCTACGCCGATTATGGTTGATTTGCATTTATCTCTGGACGCAGCTGACTATTCTCAAACCACCTCAGTAAAACTATAACTATATTCCTTAAAGTAGAAGTTACTTGGTTTCTCTCTTTCCTGCCTTCTTTCTTTCTAAGGCTAACAGCTACATTCCTTTTTGTGAAACCTGCAGTTTCATGGAGGGGGTGGGGCGAGCACCTTGGTACCTGAATAGGGCTAAGGAGTGGGAGCAGAGCAGCACAGATAGCACTGGGCAGAGTGGGAGCTGGTATATAAGGTGGAGTGGAATTATGGTAGAGAATAGCTTAAGCCACATTCTTATAAAGGTTGAGGTTTATAGATTTCTGGATTCAGAGGACACCGTTGTAATAAAGGAATGTACTATTTCAAAATTCATATTCTTTGAGTGTGTTGCAAGAGTGAAATCAAAAGGTCATGGCAACAGCTCAGATATGGAGGGGATGGGGTGGTAAGAGATAGTGAAGAGTTTGGGATGATTCCTAGATTGTGAGCCTGAGGGACTGGGAGCATGGTGCTGCCTTCTTCAATTTTACAAAAGATGTGTGTTGGGGTGGGCACATTTTGAGGAAAAGAGTGAGTTATGTTTTGGACATAGTTTAAGATGTCTACTGAGGCAGCTACATGGCTCAGTGGATGGAGTTAGAAAGACCTGAGTTCAAATGTGACCTCAGACATTTACTAGCTGTGTGACCCTGGGCAAACCACTCCGGTACCTTTGCCAATAAAATCCCATGGACAACTGAATGACTGAATAATAACAGGACATCCAGTTCATGTTGTTTCAAAGATGGTTAGAGAGGCTAGTTGAGAGATTAGGGAAGAGAAGGTATATTTGAAAGTCATCAACACAGAGATGGAAATTAAATCCTTAGGAGCTGATGAGATGACTAACTGAAGTAGTATAGAGGGAGAAGAAAAGAGGACTCCGGACAGAACCCTGAGGGACACTTATGGTTAGAGGGTATGATCTGTAGGAGGATTCAGCAAGGAGACAGTGAAGGAGTGGACAGATAGGTAGGGGGAAAACTAGGAGAAAACGGTATCCTGAAAACCTAGAGAGAAGAATGAGAGAATGATCAACAGTACCCAAGGCTGCAGAGAGGTCAAGAAGAATGAAGACTGAGAAAAGACCATTGATTTGGCAACTAAGAGATCAGTAGTAACTTTGGAGAGTAGTGGTAGAATGATAAGATCAGAAGCCAGACTGTAAAGAGTTAA